CAAGGGCAGCCTCAACTAAATAGCAAGTTTAAGGCTAACCTGGACTACATGAAACTCTGTCTCAAAAATTAATAAATAATGTCAGATGTGAGTAGTTAATTAATGTATTTCATTATTTCAAAGAAAATAAGGCACTGTACATTAAACACAGAATCAAACATACTACTCAGTCTTACACTAATTCAATAAGAAAGAGAAAAGGCTATAATAATAATATGTATGTTGAAAAGAATGAGTGAAAATGTTGTTCTACACAATATGACTACTTACTGAAGACCCACGAAACTTGATGGGCACATTGCTAGAAGCCATAGTGCAGTCTAATACAAAAATAACAAAAATAACTAAAAATAACAAAATTCATGCTTTCATTTTAAACATTATTTCATAACCACAGAACTAAGACAAATTCTATAAGACTTATATAAACAGAACTATAAAACCTTACTGAACAGCATAAAAATAGAGAGGAAGAATATGCCTCTGCAAGAGAAGCCTCATTATCTAATTATAAAAATCCCAACCAAATTTATCTATAAAATAATTATAACCAGGGTGGGGGCTGGCAAGATGACTTAGTGGATAAAGGCACTTGACAGGAAACCTGAAGACTTGAGTTGAATCCCTAAATCTACATGGTGGAAGGAGAGAACCAATTCCCAGAGGTTGTCCTCTGACCTCTATATGTACCTCCTACACACAAAATAAATAGATAAATGGGTATAATATTTTTAATTCCATTAAGCTATTATTAGCAATCTACCTGTTAATCCTAATTATGCCCATCAATATTGTACCTCTGCTTTGAATACCTTCAGAAATAATCTAATTCAGTTTGCCTTTACAGTTGTTAATATGCTCCCAGACCTATTATCCCAAATATCTCCTTAAGTACAGAAGTCAGTCAGTGCTGCCCATATTCAAACAATATTTTGAAAGAGGAAAACAACTGAAGGCGAGAAATCCACCAGGAAGAGAGGACAGAATGAGGAGTTGTTTAGAAGGAAAAACAACCCTAGATTTATAGAATCCACAAAATTATTTCTGGGGTACAGATAAGCTAACATTGAAATTATTCTGAGTATATAAGTAAATATATGATATTATCTTTTCAAAATATTCTCTTTCCCACAGAAAAAGATACAGTAATGCTATTGCTCTCCTAGAATGCAGAATACTATTTCATGGTCTTTTCTTCACAGACTTTATAAACTAGATCATATATCATCATCTTAATAAACATTTTTTTGAGTCTATATTCATCTCCCAATCGGTTCCATGTTCCTCTGAGCAAAGTTTTGTCAGATAAGTTAGCCATGCTTTCTGTTTCCCTGGCACTTTAATTCGATCAAGCAGATATCCCCTTCTTTCCCCTCTAAACTGATTTAATGAAGAACACCAAAGACTTTGCAACACCAGATCTACTGTTCACTTCCTCATTGAGCTTCTTGACAGAGGTTTCCTTCCCTCCTGAAAACTTCTTTTTCTAGCTTCCATAACACCGCCCCCATTTTCTTCATGTTGACTAGTTGTTTTCCCCTGTTGACTTTGCCAATTCCTAGTCATCTGCAGATGTAAACACAGGAGTCAAACACTGCTATTCAGAGCCAAGTTTACCTCACCCATTTCTCTTCATCACTGCTCTCTTCTTTGTTCTCTACCTAGACTCCCTGTGACTATCACATCTAAACCCACTATTTAAAAGCCAGGGCCATGATCTTCACACCCAAAATCTATTCTTTCCTTGGTCTTCTCCATCTCAGTAAAAAAAATACTAAAATCAAATCTCAAAATTTTTTGATTATTTTTAATGTATTTTATATGCATGAGTGTTTTGCCTGCATGTATGTAGGTGTACTGTGTGTGTGCATTGCCTACAGAGGCCAGAAGAGGGTGTTGGATCCCTTGGAACTAGAGTTACAGCCAGTTTTTAGCCAACATGTGGTACTTGGAACTGAACCCTGGTCCTTTACAAGAGCAGCTAGTGCTCTTAATTGCTGATCTATCTCTCCCACACATTTTAAAAATTAATAAATCATTTTTAAAATATCTACATAAAGATAAATAATATCAAACCACCTAAAAGTAATAGTTTTAAATGCAGACTTTCTCTTGCTCCCTCCCTCTTTCTCTCATCTCTCTCATTCTTGCTTGTCTTTTCCTACTATTTTCTCTCCACACTTATCCTCAAAATCTACCTCCAAATAACTACAAATAAAACATTTGCCATGATAGCATGTTCTGTTCCTTTTTATCTCCTTTCTACCTATTGAAAAGCAAACATACAGAGATGAATGTTTGACAATATTTTATCAAAATGTCATGTCATAAAAATTGCTGATTTTTCTCAGTAATCTTCCTAAAATTTTCCCAAAGTCAATGTAAAAGTTTGTTCTTTTCAGTGTTCCCAGAATATCCCTTAGTGGAGATGCAGCGTGATGTTCTCAGTGCTTCTGTATCTGTAGGAACCTGCTGTTTCTAGGCCTTGACGAACATAAATAGGCATTTTAAAAACCTTGTTCTACCTGCATTCTTATATTTTTTACATTTACATTTTTACATTTACAAGTCCCTAGACTAAGATTTCTAAAATCAATAAAGATTTTAATTTTTTTTAGAAATGCTACCATGTAACTATCCAAAAAGTTAAAACAGCTGACATTTATACCAGTAGTTCAGTTGAGTACCCTTCCTCCAGCTCCATCAGCAACAGTTTTTGGTAACTCTTTTCGGTAAATGTAACACGAGAATGTCATTAATAATTCAAAATATTTTAGATACTTTATTTTATTTAGCATTTCAATTCACAAATTCGTATCTCAAAAATTAAAATCATCCTTTTAAATTGACCTACTAAATTTTAATCTTGACAATTTTGCATTTCAGTTCTAGTCTTTTCCAATTTCTAGAATACCTGAGTATTCTTAGGTGTGCTTTTTTGGCATTGTTGTTTAAGGTGCAGTATTTCCTCCAGCAGTTTTGTTTGGATGAGCAATTAGTCTGTATTTTGTTTTCTGCCTGGTGGTCTCCTTTATTTGCACTATTCTATTTCTTTGCTGCCATTGTCTTTTGATTGAAGACAGCCACAGGAGATGGAATGGGAGATGTTCTTAAATCCTACTGACTCTGTTTGGGGTCAAGGCATTCTACCTCTCAGTACCAAAGCCCCAAGAAGAGAACTGCTTCTTTCTATTCTGTCCTCTGTACAGGTTCATGGAAGAGTCACACTCCCTTTGAAGCTCCTTATCAGCTTTCATGGGACCACAGAAAGATCCAGACAAGACCAGAGTCCACTACAAGGACCCATGAGGGTCCTTCTTTGCACAAGGCCTCGGGGTTCTTGCTTCTGTCATTGGGAAGAAAGTTTTTTTATTAATCTTTCTACTTCTTTGATTCCCATAAAACTTGATTGCACCTTCTTGGAGGAGAGGCAGATATACTGGGATTAGAAAGGGTAGGATATATTGTTACATACCATGTCTTCATGATCTCTGCATTCGCTGTACTTATCAATAACAACAAAACTCCTTACCATGGCATATACTTCTGAAAGCTAAGGCCTTAAATCTCATCCCACCTACCTGGGCAAATGTAACATATAATATCTCTTTTGCTCATCTAGGTCACAAATCTCTCAATCACACCAATCTCAATCTTACTTAAACTCTCACACTTGCTATTCTCTCCACCTAGAAAGCTCTACTCTTCTCCCTTTGACTTTCATCTTCCAGGCCTATTCATATGTCAGGTTCTCAAAGAGGCCTTATCTGAAGCCTGATTCACCTCATTTCATTATTTCATATCTTCCTAACACTTAATAGCATCTCAAGCTATCATATTTATATATTTACCTCTTGATATGCTTATTACCTGTCTCCTCCATAGTATTATCTAATAAATTAATAATTTGCTGAATAAATGAACATATTCCAGTTGCTTTCATGCAGGAGGAAAAATATAAAGGAAATCTTTTGTTGATTCCAACAAAATGCTTTTTATGGGTACTATGATTGCCAATATGTAAAATATAGTAAGGATAGATCATCATCTGATGTTGAAGGTCTTTCAGGAAGTCATTTATTACTTTGGAAAATGGGAAGATTAGTTGAGAAAGTGATTTCTGCACAAAATTTTTCTTAACAGATGTCTGTGCAAACCATTTTAAGCCTGTCATCAGCATATAATGGAAAATGAAAATATTTGATTTCCACGCAAGCATTACAAGTTCTGCTGTAATGTGCACACACACACACACACACACACACACACACACACACATACACACACACGAATCAGAAACATCTCCTCTATGCACATTACTGCTGACTTTTATAATACTGATATTTCAATAAAATTTGCACATGGGCAGTAAATCATGTTCATTGTTCCTTTGACTTCATCTCCTCAAAATTGTATTTTAGCCTATCATGCTGCTCCTTGTGATCTGGGAAAATATTAACATTTCATACTTGATGGAATTAAGTAATAATTTAATTGCCATGATGCTTAAAGAGTGGTTTCCAGGCACAACAGAGAAGTTGCACATATGAAGTAACAGCAGTTGTGACAGCATGTACAAGACACAACTGCTTGGAGAGGGAGAGTAAGCTTTCTTTAAGAATGTGGCCTCTGGATACACTCAAGTGGGTGACCACATATCCAAGAATATGTGAGTAGAACAAAATATGCTCCATGGATTTTTGTTTATAAAAAGATGACACAATATTGGTGGGGTAAGGAATGGGGAGAGGACCTGGGAAGAGTCGAGGGAAGGGAAGTGAATATGATCAAAATACATTGAATGAAATTCTCAAAGATCTAATTTTTAAAATAAAAACAAAAGAAGTGAAACTAAATAAATTTGGGTATATGGGATCAAACTGGGTAATGGATAGCTTGTTATACTATTCTTTTTGTCTTCGTATAAATTTCAAATCTTCCAAAATGGTAGAAACTTAAAAAGATAAGTTATGCCATTAACCCTTTTTTCTTTTTAACAGATAAATGAAACATTTCATGGATCCAAACTGAGAAGGCAGTATGTCAAATCTCACATTGTCCAAGTAAGGTATGCACAGCAGCCTGAGAGGCAGAGCATTTTGACCTTCACCCTCATTGTTTCCCAACAGAATATGTTTCCTTGGTGTTCTAGTTTGCTTTCTTTTGCTGTGATAAAACACTCTGACCAAAAGCAACTTGGGAAGGAAGAGGTTTATTTCATCTTACAGTTCAAAGTAACAACCATAATTGAAGGAAGTCAAGGCAGGAACCCATGGTAGGAACATGGAGGCAGGAATTGAAGCAGAACCATGGAGGAACACTGCTTACCAGCTTGATTCTCTGCCTTATTCAGCTCTCTTTCTTACACAGCTCAGGTCCACCTGGCTAAGGATGGCACCACCTCTCTAGGCAGGGCTCTCCTATATCAGCCCAAAATCAAGAAAATGCCCTACAGACAGGCCCACAAGCCAATCTGATGGAGAAAATTCCACAATTGAAGTTCCCTCTTCCCCGAAGTCTCTAGTTTGTTTCAAGGTGACAAAAACTAACAGCATATATAGTGGGCCATTATATTGTAGAAATAGAATTGAATTTAAAAAAAAAAGCCTTCGATACTTCAAATGTGAAAAGAAGTATTTTATAGTTTGTTAGAAATTTGTCAAACCACAACCTTGAGTTACAGCTAATTATGAGCATCAGATAAAGGTTAAATGGGTTTGTTTTCTGATTGAAGGCACAAAATCAAACAGTAAATATAAACCGAGAGTATACTTAACACTTTTTTAAATGAGTAAGAGAGGACTGGATTGGGGGCTGGAGAGATGGCTCAGTGGTTAAGAACACTGGCTCTTCTTGCAGAAGATCCGGGTTCAAATCCCAGCACCCACATGGCAGCTAACAACTGTCCGTAACTCCAGTTCCAAGGGATCTGACAGCCTCTTCTGTCCTCCACAGGCATTGCATGACACGGCTACACGTACATGCAGGCATAACATTCATACACATAAAAAAAATTTTTAAATATTTTTTTTTAAAAAAAATGAGAGAGGACTGAATAGGTACCTCAGCAGTTAAGAGGACCTGGGCTTGGTTCCCAGCTCCTACATGATGGCTGACAACGGTTGGTTACTCCAATTCCAGAAGATCCAACATCCTTTTCTGGGCACTGTGTGCATATGGTGCACTTACATACATGCTAGCTCCTTCAGGAGTCCAGGGAAAGTAGGAACAGGGGTTGATGGATCCCTAGAGCTCCCTGTGCAGCTACTCTGGCCTATTGGTAAACTGTAAGTTCAATGAGGAAGCCTGTCTCAAAAAACAAGAGGCAGAATGAGCAAAGAAGACACCCAACATCAACCCCTGGCCTCCACATGCACACATGAACACACATGTAAACACATCTACACATAAAAATTGTTTAATTAAATAAAAGAACTCTGGGCCAGAAAGATGGCTCAGAAGTTAAGGACACAAACTGCTCTTGGAAAGGACCCAAGTTCAGTTCCCAATACCCATATTAGGTGGCTAACAGCCTCTTGAAACAACAGCTCCAGGATATCCAGGGTCTCTGACTTCCTAGAGGTACTGCACACACATGCATGTGTATACACACACACACACACACACACACACACACACACGCTCACACACACAATTAAAAATTAAAAATAAATCTTTAAAAGAAGAAGTGAATCCAGAGTGATACTACTTAAGAGGATAAAATATAAGACAAATGAGCTACATGTAGGAGGAAAAAAATAGCTACAAATGCATAGAAAGATTAATATGCCTGGGAATCTTATCTCTGTCTAAAATTAGAACTTACAGAATTGTAATTTTTAACTTAATTTTAAGTAATCCATGTTTTTAACCAGTAACTCCAGAAGACTCATTTAACCTGTTTACAATCTTATGTGATTATATGTTTCTATTTTATAAAACGAAAAATTAAAGCAAAGATGAGCTAAGTGTCATGTGAAGGTGCCACACTGGATAAATAATAAACATTCATTTCAAACATAGGCAATCTTATCTAGATTACTATATTAATTTGTTTAGTCTCCAGCTTTTGCTCCTGCTCACTAGAGCAATGTGTCTACTACAGTCAGGCACCCAGTCCTCCCACAGAAAGTGGGAAGTGGGCTTTTCATCTATTTGATCTCTATTTTTAATTTTTTATCTATTATTATTTTATATGATGTGTGTGAGTGAGTGCAGGTTTGAGGACAACTTGTGGAAGTCAGTTCTCTCCTTTCATAAAGAGTTCTGAGGAGAAAACTCAGGTAGTCAGGTTTGTCGGCAAGTGCCTTTACCTGCTGAGCCATCTCACTGGCTCTGGTGGCCATTTTTGAACGAGCTGACTGTGAAGTCCCTGATGAGGACATTTCCTGTATTGAAAAATTGAAAAGAAAATAAAGAACAAAGGAAAGTTTGTTTTGAAATAAATACTCTAAAACCAGGCCTATAATCAGGGATAATCCTGTCTAACATTTCATAACACTAAAGGGCCCATTTAGTTCCTCTCAGCCAAGGCATCTGCACTGATTCCTTCTTCCTGGAACATTCCTCCCCTAGATCTTAGCATAACTCACTCCTTGTCTTGGAATCTCATTCTAAGTGGCCTTCCCTGAAGCTCTTTCCCACTAGCATATAAACAGCAGGAGCACAGGGAACTTGTACTGCCACACCAATACAGCACTGTCATCTAGAGTGCCATTTGGCATGCTGTCTAAAGTAATACATTTGTTGAATAGATGGATGGACAGATGGATGGATGGATGGATGGATGGATGGATGGATGGATGGATGGATGGATGAAAACTTTAGCAATCAAAAGGAATACTTCCTGTAGAAAAGAAATTTCATTTTTCATATAAAATTAAAGATAATTTATGAACCCAGAGAAAAGTAAAAGTAAAATAACTTAATTAATGTTTTCAATAATGAAGAGGAGTCTAGGATTCCATGGCATCAGAATGAGAATACTGTGTCTATATTTAGCTTGGTTTTAGGTTTGACTCAGGAAAAACGTTCAGAATGACACCCATAGTTTAACAAAATATTTAAAATAAAGTAATATGATATGTTTTCATCAATTCCATAAGGAACAAAGAGATTGTCCCTATACATCAGATAAGATTAGCAATTCACCTATAACTAAAAGTGGAAGAGATGAGAAGAATATCTAATAAACTGACATAATTATTAATCATTTAATGTTATACAAAGGAAACAAAAATATTTATATCCTCAAAAGGAAAGTCATCTGGTACACATACACTTTGAAACATAAACTAACAAGGAGCAATTTAGAAATTAATATGTTTATTTTAAGTTATCATAGAAGGAAAGATCAGAAATCATGTCATTATACTCACTGATAAAATTCTGGATCTGGGCATAGTTTACATTTCATTCATGAGTGTTATGAAGGTTTGGAAGACTGTATTTTCAGGATCTTCTTAAATCACATAGAGCTCCAGGTTGTTGATTTTCAGAGAAATGCCCAGGAAGGCATTACAAGGCAGGGAATAGAGAGTAGAACCGAATAGGTATTCCTTAAATCCAGTATAGCTGCTCCCTTTTAAAATGCATGTCTCATAGAGTTGCATCTTCAAATCAAAATAACAAATAAAATAAGCTCACTTTAAACACTTTTGCTCTCAGTCCTAATATCCAACAGGTAAGAGACAAATGGCTCATTATTATCAATTGTAACTCAATTTTTTATTATTGTTTATTGTTTTGTTGTTGTTTGAGTTGGGTTCTTTGGGGGGCAGTTCTTTTTGTTTTTGTTTTGTTTTTTGACAAGGTCTCCCTAGTCCCAACCTGCCTGGAAGTTACTACGTGGACCAGATTGGCCTTGATCTCACACAGATTGGCCTGTCTCTGCCTGCAGAGGGCTAGGATTAAAGGCACATGCCACCACTCCCAGCATGGCTCAGTTTTTTTTAAGGATAATAAATGATCTATTTTTACTTGTTTCTCCATTGTTCTCTTTTTCAAACTTATTTTATTTTTTAATAATTTATTATTTTTTTATATGTATGAGTATTTTATATGTATGAGTATGTATGTATTACTGTCATATAGTAAGTGTGCCCGTGTAATGCCCGTGGAGGTCATTAAGAAGGCATTAAGTCTAGAACTAGAGTTAGGTTGGAACTAGTGTTAGGTTGAGCCACCATGTGTGTACTGGAAACCAAACTGGAGTCTTCTGCAAGAGCAGCCAGTACTCTTAACTGCTGAGCCATCGCTCCAGCCACCTCTGCTGTTTTCTATTAGTTCTCTGTGCAGAGTCCATAATGGATTTACAATACACAAATACATTTATATTAACAAATAATTTTCATTCATCACTCTAAGATATTCAAAATACCTCAATATCTGTTACCTACAAGATGCTCTCAATCCAATGTTTTTAAAAGCCTAGTAACTAAGATTATCACCCGCAATTGGGACATGAGAAAACATTAAGTACAGAGCTTGCTATAGTTGCTTTAGTTGGCAGATAGCCGATCTAAAATTCAAACTCAGTTTCCTTGAATCTAAAAAAAAAAGGTTGTTTCACTATGAACATGAAATGTTATTTCCACTCCCTTAAGAGGGACTGGGTGGTTAGCAAAGGATAAAATAATTCTACGTTATTGTCTTAACCTCTTCTTGTTTAGAACTCCCCATCCCTTCCACTGAGTGACAGAGATTCAGTCATAAAATCATAATCTATTTATGTTTATGTTTTACAGCCAAACCAAAGGGAAAGTGGTAATACATGTTGTGCTGAAATTTAAGTCCTGTTATAAGAATAATGCAGAAAAATTTTGGGACAGAATTGAAACTATTTTGTATCAGAAGCTCAAAAGCCAAAATGGGTCATTACTTATAGATTCTTCCTCATTTAAATTCTCAGGTAAGAAAATATATAGTGTTGAATGACTTTCGTCTCTTAATTTGAATATGATGAAACATGAAACAGAATTCCTTTCTTTAAATATTGAATCATTAAAATGTCTATCTTTATCTATCATGAAAGTAAACAGGGTCCCAAATAGCATTTTTTGTAAAACAAAGTAGCCTTGAAACTGGCTTATTCTGTGGGTCGTGATGCCCTTATCTATTCCCCGTATGGTCTCAAGAATCTGGAATTCCAGAATCATCAGACATTTTCAACATTAAATTCCTTTCTTGATATACCTTTAAGGAAGGAACTTATCTCATACTATCACATATAATCTGATTTTTATTTTTACTCATCAAACAACATTGTTCAAAGCAGTCATTATTCCTGATTTATGAGAGTAGCTCAAGGTTTGAAAAAAGTACAGTCAGCTGTTGGGATGAGCTACCATTTCTCCACTATAACAAATCTAATCACAGGTAGGAAGTATCACCACCTCTATAGGAAGGACTAACGATTGCTGGGGTGAGGGAGATCTAGGCCAAGTCTTCATTTTCACTGATGATCAAAAAATCAAAGAGCAAACTCTGAATGTGCTTCTCCTGGATAACAAGCTATCACAGTGGTGAAATGAGACTCTCCTGAAGTTGTGCAATATTCTTTTACAGTCTTTCTTCTCACGTAGCTCATTCTATATACAGTGGTCTCAAGAAAGCAGAAAGAAAGAAACCTTCTACCAGGTGGAGAATTTGTATCCAATTCATATGCTAACAATATAAACCCAAATGTAAAAGAAACAAAATTATATTCCCAGTATTCTTCCAGTTTTTAAAATATTATATAAGAACTCAGGAAAATAGACACTCTGGAGGCCCCTTCCAAACACTTGATTTTTCTCATTAACCATTCTTGAGAGTTGTTGTAATAATCATTCTTGAAGATTTGTTATAATGCCATGCTACCATACTCTCAAGATTGGTTAAACGTAGCAGACTAAGTACAGTCTGTGCTCTGGTATTGTCTTAAGCGCTACTTGTTATTTGGAAGCTCTGTGTCCCTCCCTCTTCACATTTCATCAGAAGCTTGGTGCCTCATAAAGCAGTGAAGTTTCACCCATGCAGGAGCAAACTCAGCAGCTGACAAAGACTATCTCCCAAACCCACACTGAAACAAGTTGATACAGGGCTTACATTCATGACAGCTCTCATGGAGGTGAATTGTTAATCTTCATTGGTCACCACAAAAGTAGGTCTGTGCTGTAGGGATCTATGAAGCTTATTTAGGGAGCCAAAGTTGCTGTTTCAGCACCTTATTAAATAACATGACCTTCTTATGCCGACTGGTTAGTTCAGTTACTCAGTACCTATACCAAACATGTCAAGGTGGTGAATTACATTTTCATACAAGGTGCTTAACAACAGGAAAATCACCATGTCTTACAACTATGGCTTTCATGACACTGGCGGTGATGTTAATTAAATGAATAGCTGAATTAAATGAATAGCTGAATGCAGTATGATTATCCTACATTAATGTAACTAGAAAATAGAAATAGCACAGTAGATAAGGTCACATTCTATTATGAGATGACCTGAGATTTGAGCCTTCAGTCCTCTAAATATTAGCTATATGACTTTGATATTAGCTATATAAACTTACTTCCTCAATATAACCATCTCATTATAGGAATGAGGATAAAAATAAATAATATTCCGCATGGTTATTGGGAAGATCTCAAAGATCCCATACATCATAAACAACTTTTAAAGACTGATCTAGAATAAATTATCATACATTATTGAGTTCTTATTAAAAGACAACAAAACCACTTGATTTGTATGTTATACAGATTGTAGATTTGAAAGTCAAAAGAGAGCTGATGAGTGGCTCAGCAGGTAATACACTTCTATCAATGTTGGTTACCTGAGTTTGATCCCCAGAACCCACAGGATGGAAGAAGAGAACAGATTCCCATAAGTCATCCCCTGACCTCCACATGCTCAACATGACACATGGATACCCACACATGTACAAATACATGCATATATAAATAAACTAATACAAAAAATTGAAAGTCAAAAGGATAGGAGATAGATGAATAATTATTCTTTTTAATATGATATATTTTTTATTTGATTTCAGTACTTGAATCATAGCTCTGGGTATCAAGGTCAGGCTTATTACTCAGAGAAACACAAAGTGACTGCCTCTGAAAATAAAGAAGTGCTGTTTTTCATAATCTATTCTTGGCTATGTTTCCACATTAGAGCATTCTGAAGCATAAAATGTTCTATTTTTTCAAAAATATATGACTAAAAAGCTTATGTTTAAGATAACACATTTTTTTCTGTCTCTCTGCATGGGATTGGGAGGCAGGGAAGGAGGAAAACATCGTGGTCCAACTCCCAAATAGAAATTTCTCATCTGTACCAGATCACTTCACTCTTCCCTGCCAATTTGCTTGTTGTGCAATTTATCTGTTCTTACTTTCTCTTACCTGCTTTTTTTCAGTCTTTTTAAGACCTAGCTCAAACGTATCTGATATTTTAGGCATTCATTGAGAATCTTGCAACATATCCTTGGGGTATACGGGAACTATTCCATTTGGAGACAGAGTCTTTGCAGATGTAATTAAGTTAAGATGATGTCATACTGGATTAAGCTGGCCTCTACTCCAAAGAGGAGTGTCATAATAAGAAGACCATCTAAAAGCACAGACACACATAGGGGAAAGAAAGTCATGTGAGATTAGAGGCAGAAATTAGGGAGCTACCACTGTAAACCAAGAAGCACCAAGGATTCCTCAGAGCCACCAAAAGCCAAGAAGAGGCAAGGAAGTTTTCTCCCAGAGCCTTCAGAACATGACCCTGTTGCCCTCTTGACTTCAGACTCGGAGTCTTCAAAACTGTGAAAGATCACATTTCTACTGTTATGAGTCAGATAGATTATGATAATTTATTATACTAGCCCTAGAAAACTAATAGAGATGGCTTTTAGAAAGATCAACATCTGAAGCAGTGGTGATCAAAGAATTGTTAAAACACCACGCGGGAGGCTGACTGGGAAGCTCCAAGGTGGAAGCAGTTCTGTAGATGTCATACTCTTTTTTGGTTAAATTGAATAATTTGATGGCATTGATACAAGAAACATTTTTGACTTTTCAAGATTTGCCAAATACCAAAGGATAAGATCAAACAGGATTTCTCTACTCCATGGGCTCTGAGGAGCCAGTGTATTATGTGAAAATTTAATTTCATTTACCTCAAAGTAGAATGAAAATCTATTAAGGTAAAGAAGAGCATTGTGCCTGGCATGGAGGAAGTCAATAAATACCACTCAGTGAGCTTTGTAAAACATGAGTCTCTCAATTGCAAAGTGACAGAAAGCAACTCAAACTTACTTTTATTGGCTTGTACACCTGTGAAGACCAACATTCAGCTTCCTTCTGGCAACATTAGACTCAGAGGCTCATAAGCAGCTATCGGGGAAATATTTTTTCCATTTCTCAGCTTTATTTTATTTTTTCAACTTTAAAAAGATTTTCCCACCATTTCTAAAGGTAAAGTTGTCTACTAATAGCTCTTGGCTTACAAAATTTCCACAGTGGACAATTATAATGAAAGGAGAGAGGGGTACTTTTAATCCTTCCAGAAAATAAAACAATGTGAGGCTCTGATTTCCCCTGCTTGAGCAGCAATAACTATGACCCAGTGGTAGAGAACTCCGGACAACTTAGGTCACATGACAGCGAATCATGAGGATGAAGAGGGATGTTTCTCCCAAGAGCCTTTGGCAGACAGCAAACACATCCATCACTCACCAAAGCTGCCATCTGAAGACATCCCTGGATGGATTGCCACTGCTGGTAATTGCTCATCTCTTTTTCATAGCTTCTGACAGTTGTCTCTAAAATTTTCTGTTGTATGCCATTCAATAATCATGGGAAAGCCAATCATGAACAACAGCCCTTTTTTGGAGCAAATTGCCTAAGCTAACTCCATCAAAATCCAGTATTATATAGTATTCTGGAGGCTGAACAATTCAAGATAAATGTCCAGAAGTCTTGAAGGCTTTCAACATGGTCCACAATAGTCCTTTCTGTGTTTTCAGTTGATAAAGGGGGCTGGGTAATTATTGTATTAACAATCCTCCCCATCTACCATGAACTCACATTGCTTTATGTATGAAGGGGAATAAAATCGGGTCATTTCTAAGGAAGAGGAACTTCCTGAACACTGTAATAACAGAGGCAACTTTGACTCTCTAACCAAGTTTCTAACAAGCAAAAATCACTTAGTTCACAGAGTCTTAGTTTCTTCATCTTTAAAAAGGAGATTATGGCATCATAGATCTCATAGCAAATATAGAAATATTCCTTAGAATAGTGCCTGGCACACAACAAGGATGGAAGAAATACTCACATATGAGTTATATGGATGGACTATTTTTCACTGAATCCTCTGATAACTGAATCCTTAGGCATTCACTGTACTACCAGCTGAGTCTTAGAAAATATACATATGTGCTTTTCATATATAGATTCAAAGAAGGACAGTAAGCCCATTAGAAGTGATTTTACAAGCCTAGGGATAAAGTAAATCATGGATAAAGATTGCTGTTCATGTATAAATAGATGCAGTTCATCGAGTAAAGTGTCCATTAACATTTCAGCACTTAATTATTATACTTACCTCAGGAAAACCATTTTATGTAATAGTTGACTATTATAATACTAAATCATAACAAGGTAAGATTTAAGATCATCTGATATTGACTACTTAGGATAAAAACTGGAAAAAAATGTATACAGTTCTCTCCTGCACAATAAAGATTTATTTCTTGAAAATAAAAATCTCCAGGCAAATTCCTTAACCTAATTTCATTTATTTCAAAGGAAGGAAAGATGATATACATTCCCAAACCCAAAATTTGTATTCACTAACACTTAATATCACATTCATTTAAAATAAAGGTGATTGTGTCAGTATTTAAAATTAGTTACATAATCTCTC